CCGCTGTGACAGCAAATCCCATAATGCTTTATCAGGAGAGCTCAGGGATATATCTCCCTCTTCTGAAACCTTTCTTTTCTTCTCACTCACTTCATAGACACTCTTTCTCTTGCGACCCTCGGCCATTTACAAAGAACCGCGGTGAGAAAGGTGAGCTTCAATGACTGTCTGAAACCATAGAGATACGCCTGAAAATGCACATATGCAGAAAAAGATATCTAACAGAAGGAGCATGTAGGATAGCCTTACTTTAACATGTCATTAGAATGATTGACAATTAGGAAGACCACTTATTTAGATGATCTATCCAGAAATAAAAGATTGTCCGTAGGACATGTACCTTTAAGTAGTTGTTAATTTGATTAATTTATTCAACAGTAGTATTGGCTTCGCACCAGTAGAGAAACTCAGGATCTCTTCACTTTTATATAAATCTTTAAGAAAATCGGTTTTGTTTTTGCATGTTTTATACCTATTTATTTAAGAAAACAATTCTGCAAAACATAAGAAGCTGGAGTTCAAAGGATTAAAATATGCATTTGGAAGGACAACCAAAGCAGAAAACGTCTTGAGCTTAGTTTATTCTCTCCCTCCAGGCGAGGAGTTCAAGCAGAAGAGAGGGAAACTGAGATCATCTGCAGTGATGTGGGCGTTGCTCTGATCTGATCTGAAGTGAGTGGCCCAGGCTGCTGAAATAAACAGCTTAATGAACCTAAAGGCAACAACTAAAAAACCACAAGAAATACAGAACCTTTGAAATATGGAGACCATTGAGGTGTTAGAAACCCATCTGAGCATTTCATGGTTTCCACCTCCAGGAGATTCCAGAAAGCAATAATGACTTTTTTTTTTTTTATCATCATTGTTACTATTATACACTGCATCAGGCCACTTTATTAAACTTAATTTATTGATTCAAAGTTTACCAGCTCTGATAAAAATACTAAGAAAAACTGTGCTGTATGAGTCACACATTGTGCAGTAAATATGAAATCAATACCTCACATGTATCTATGATAACATATTTTAATGTCATATTATGAAGACTTAATGTTTGCACAAAAAAAGCCTGGTTTAATTGCTAAATGCTGGAAGGGAGTTGAGCTTAGTATCAGAGTTATTCAGGTCTGTGACACTTCTAGTTAATTAGCAGCTTTGTAATTAATTAGTATTAATTAATCGCATTTTCTTGAATAAAAAAAATATGAGACTGAATTATTTGCTTATTTTGGTTCAAATACATGTTTGTTAACAAGTTGATCAGTCAATAGTCAATTAAATCACATGCAGAGCTGAACCTGTGCTGGGACTGTTGTTGTTAACCTTGGGTCTAATGCACAAATGTCACTTCATACTTCAAGCAAAGTAATAGTATAGATCATCAAATTGTAGCCGCCATTTCTTGTTTCTTCACCTTTCCTCTGATCAACCTCAATAACACCATTGTGGACAGAAACGTCCGGACAGCTGTTCAAAATCTGGACAGCCCTTAGACCTCTGGACGTCATTACCCAACTGAAACACACAGGCATTATGAAGTGTAGCTCTCTGTGTCTTTTGGGAATCACATTCAGCCAACAGCTGAGGGGAAGGCGCATTTAATGTTCCTGTATGACAGTAATCAAAAGTAGCAGTCAATAAAAGGCACTTTCTCATCAGAGTGTCCAACAGCACCTTTTTCCAGACAAAAGGGAAAGAGCAGAAAATTACTTAATCAACTGCCCTGGACTAACACATTAAACTAACTAGTTTAAACACAGAGTTTTAATTGAACATATTCACCTGTGAGCTTAGTGTATTTAATATTAAATATAATTAACAATTACAATAAAAGCAACACAGTAAATATCAGTCAAATAAAAAATAGACATTTCTAAACGGGAGGTTACTGTTGCACATGGGAATTGTTTTCCTTTTACAATAAAAGCTGTCTTCTCGAAATAAAAGTTGTATAGCTGTCCTTTAGAATAAACGTCAATTAACGATCTATGAAAAAACATCACACTAGTACTTAATCTGGAACAGCCTCCTGGAAAAAAAACAACAACATATTATGCAAGTTACACAAATGTAGTGAACAAACAGCTGAATCATTCTGTATCCTTTTCCCTCTTCCTTACTGCTAGCAATATTTGGACAGCACTAACCTTGGTGACCTCTTATGTACGACCAATTTGATTAGTTCAGATGGAGTGCTGATGTAAATTCTCTTTAACTTGAATTTGAAATGTCTTCTTTTGTTGATTTACTTCAATTGATTTTTTTTTATTGTTAAAACACTGAAAAGTGTCTGGATCATGATGTCAGAAAAGATGACGGCCCAATCCAAGTTCTCCTGTCTATCAAATTATCTGTGGGGAATAACTTGGTGCATGGTGTTGGCAGCAGCCTTATAAAAAAAAAATAAAACTAAAATTAAACATAGTATTTTAATCTCCTCCTTTGTGGGTGAATGTGAGACGAAGAAATGAAGACGACAAGATGGACAGACAGCTGCAGCGGGAGTATATCAGTCAGAGAGAAAAACATCCAGAGAGACAGAAGGGAGGATTACTGATGGACTATATTTAGACTTTGAGTGAAAGAGAAGCAGAAACAAACAGCAGAGGGAAGTGAAAAGAAACAACCAAATGTCCAGATGAGTCACTGAGCCTTGGAGACTGTTATTGACAAGATGAGATGGAGGGATAAGCAGAGAGGGAGGAAGAGGTGGAGGAATAGAGAGGAGGATTTAGACAAGGATGAAGAAAAAAATGCCACAGAGAAATGCGCAGAGAAGAGCACAATTCAGGCATAAAGACATTATCGATTCCTCCATTTTCTTTGATGCAGGCGTGTCGAAGCTCTTGTTCATGCTGGCTGTTGTTAGCAGTCATTTTTTATAACCAAATCTGTATGTCGAGATTAACAGCTGACCTCTCATCAGTACTCCTCCTCATTACCTTCAGCTTTAATAGGACTTATTGTCAGATCACTCAGCCATGTTCTAAATCAAAACAGTCAACATCACAGGTGACAACTGTCTGTAGACACCTTCTGGTTACCTGCTGGAACTTCACAGCTTAGAAATGATTAAAATAGCTGAATGTCACTTATATAACAGGGAGTAAAAAATAGGGACACTAAGTGATTTGGATTAAAAGCTTTCAGTGTTAACCCTTTCATCTGCAGCCCCACAGCAGGGCGCTTTCTTCCGATTCTTTGATTTTTTCAATTTCAGCAGCTGCATCCTCCAAGGATCCAGTTTATCTGGACTGGGTCCTTGGAGGTCCGAGGAAATAAGGAGGCAGCAAGAGTTTAGCTATGGATTCAAACACCAACCTGAACATGGCACTTTGACACTGCTGTGCCATATGGCATGATCATGGTCTATGGAGATTGGGAACCAGTGTCCATATTTCATCTTGACATGATGAAGTGGAATCAGCTGTGGAATCTCTGCAAATAATGTTTTATTTACCTGATGGACTTGCATTGTGAATTGGTCTGAAAACATTCCAATTTCTCTAAATTAGTGGAAAGCTAATTTGATCATATCCCAAATTCTGCTAGATAAACTTTGGTTTTCAGACATAAAAATCCTTAAACTGTAATATGGTTTTTCAACCATGTTTCCCTTTCCTCTTTGTACAAAGTATTTTAGTTTAGGTGATTGGTTTGAGTTTTGTTATAAACTCTTAAATTTTGAACAGAAGTTGTGATGAATTTATTCCATGTAAGTGCAGAATTAACTGCTAGAGCTTGAATCAGTCTTTCATCTATTGTTCTAAGACACAACTAGTAGGGCGTGTGTTCATAAACAATATACAACAGCCAAAATAATATCTGATTAAATAAGATATTTCACCAGCCCTACCGGGGAGGGCAATAAGCGTCTTTAAGTATCAGAAATATAAACTCCCAGCTGGCTGGGAATTGAAAAGAACATAAAATCTCAACAACACCATGAAATATTTATTTTTAACTGTTCGTAAAACTTTTGAAACCTCTGTGTTTCAGATCAGAACAGACTTTAGGTGTCCCTGAAGTAGTACAAATTGCTGCCCCTCATTTATCATGACCAAAACTTTCACTTTTCAGGACTACGGTGTCTTGGCACATCTTTCGGAAGTGAAGGATTTGTTTGGTTTGGTAGAGTAGTGATTTAAAATGACTGTGAATCTACCTTTTGGATTAATAATAAAGTGTGTTTGGAACCAATTGGTCTGTATTGCTTTATTCTTCCTTTTCCTGTCCTCGTTGAATCGTAGAATGAGGAGGACTTGTTCCCTTCATGTTTTACCATCAGGCAATTGGACAGCGCCAAGGCAACAGTTACGGGAACCAGAACATTAGCTGTAGGTTTTGAGAAGAACCAGTGGAGCTGGAGCTGCTCTACGGTCAGAGATTTTCCACTCAGCAATATTTCTGAATCACAGACCTTGTTCTTTGTCCTTCATTACAAACAGCTTCATGCTAACAGTCTAAATTCTAAACTATTTTCCCCAACAGACTGTCGCTTACTGTATAAGCAGCAGTCCAGTTCCCAGCCGGGTTTATAAACTCGTCCAAGAATGCAGCTCAGCTGGCAGGCTGGGGCTGAACCCAGGTTCTAACTGGTTCCAGATTAGTTTCTAGTTTAAATGAAAGCAGCTTATTATTTTGGTCCAGCAGGTTTTTAGTACTAGACCCACTGCTTCGGCAGAATAGAAGTACTATAAGCAGGTACTGGTTTGAAGCTAGAACCATAACCAGTTTGGTTTATTATTCAATAAACTCTCTAAATGTTGGTTAGTCCTCTGGACCTGGTTCAGGCGTTTCAAGTTCTTCCGGTTCCTTACAGTTGATGCTTTGTCACAGGTTTCAGCTTTTATTGCTGATGATTGAAGATGAATCATATCCAAAGAAACAGCCAAGCTGTCTGAATACAGAGTGACTCCACAGCCTGAAACTTTCCTGGACTGATGGACAGGAACCGATCCAAATGTTTATTCCTTCCTTTGCTTTCTTATGTTTTTCAGATTTACCCACTCTTTGCATCAGTGCTGGAGAGAGAGGAGGAGGAAGAGGTGAGAAATGAAGCAAACACCTAGACACACAAACTCAGAAGGGGGAGGGAGAGAAGCTCCTGCAAAGCTTCTCCAGGGGGAAAATGAGGACCGGTGCTTTAACAGAAAGTGCAGAAAAAAGGGGGAAACGTAGAGGAGCAGATTTGGTCCTGAGTCGCTCTGCTCTAAGTGTTCTGTTAATGTGAATCAGTCTTTGTAAACAGCGTCACTCCTTTTTATAGGCTCATTATATAACCGGCCGCTCCAGCACAGCTCTCACTCCATTATGTAAGCTTTCTCCTCCATTACTTTCTCATCACTTTATCTTCTTGACACCTTTTGACTCCATCCTCTTTCTCCTCCTCCAGACTTCTCTCCGTTCTTTAATCCTTTTTGTTTCTCTCCTCCCTTCCTTCTTGCTCTCTTCCTGATTTTTTTCTTCTTTGATCTCATGCCCTCCCTTCCTGTTTATGCTCATAATCATTTCTCCTTGTCCTTTAATTCTTTTATAGTGTCTTCTTTCTCTCCTCCCATCATTTTATTTCTGTTTTCTCCTCATCTTTCATCTTATTTCTCCTCCTCTTCAGCCTGTCCTCTCATTTTTAATCATAAACTCTGTCCTTTCTTATCTCAGCCTTAAACAGTCTTTGATTGTTGTTCTTGTCTTTTTCTGAATCTCAGAGCCTCTTTTTAAAAAGACTTAGACTTAAACAAACTTTATTGTCAGTTTGTATACACAGAATGTATACAAAACTATATTACGTTGCTTACAACAGTGAAATGAACATTAACATTATAAAGTGCATAATTGATGAGAATGTAGGAACAGTATAGGAGAAAATGAAACCAGTTTAAAAGTCATTGTGTAAAAAGGCATTAAAATAGAAATGTTCAGTGCAGTGCAAAATAAATTCAATTCAGTTTATTTCTATAGCACCAATTAACAACACGTCATCTCAAGACACTTTACAGTTCAACCAAATCATACAGACAAATTAATTCAAAGTTTTCTATCTAATGAAAACCAGTTGATTGCATCGACTCATTGACTCTTCAGCAATCCCTCACACCAAGCATGATTGTAGCGACAGTGGAGAGGAAAAAAACTCCCTTTTAACAGGAAGAAACCTCCAGCAGAACCAGGCTCAGTGTGAGCGGCCATCTGCTGAGGCTGACTGGGGTTCAAGGAGACAGAAGCAGAGATATGAAAATCATCTGTAAAAGGCGACCCCGTCCAGGAAACACACAGCCAGGCAGACGAGCTCCAAGCCAGCTCCCATGTCAGAGGATGAAGAGAGCACATCCAGTTAGTCAGTCAGAGAAACAGGACTACACTGGAAAACAGGACAATCTCGAACATCTCTAAACAAAGGTGTTGATGGCAGCAGCACAGCTGATATTTCTCTCCAGGATGGAATCACAGCCAAACAGGAACAGACCAGATGAAGCTATTATGAGAAAAAGCAGATTCTGCAGATTGGGAGAATAGAGATAGAATGAAGCAGAATGATGAAAAAAGGGGTCCTTATGTCCACCAGAATACTAAGCCTGTAGTAGCATAACTATAGAGATAGCTCAGGATAACCTGAGCCACTCTAACTATAAGCTTTATGAAAAGAAAATGTTTAAGCCTAGTCTTAAAAGTAGACAGGGTGTCTGCCTCACGGACTAAAACTGGTAGTTGGTTCCACAGGAGAGGAGCCTGATAACTAAAAGATCTGCCTCCCATTCTACTTTTAGAAATTCTAGGAACCACTAGTAAACCTGCAGATTGAGAGCGAAGTGCTCTGTTTGGGACAGAAGGAAAAATCCACTGGGGTAAATTTCTGAAGGACTGGTGTGGACATGTCCCCACCAACTTTGAAATGGGTGGGGACATGTCCCCACCAATAATTTGTGCATATGTATTCAGCTCATTTACTTTAGCCAACAACAGTAACGCCAGGACGTGCCTGGCTGTGTGTGTTCTGAGAGTTTTTAGTCAGCGTTTCTGTCTCGCTATCCCGCTGCTCCTGAGTCCCGCCTACTGATATAACATCATTGTATCCTATGTCCATGGCTCCACGTCTGTCACTTTATGATAGAATATGATTGGCAATCGCTTTTCACCTCGTCATCAGTAGCTACATGATTGGAGGAGAGACGACACACAGTAGCACTCGTTAATATTAAAAAAGTATTAGACGGGTTGGTTTAACAAAAAAAAAAAAGATGCCACCGAAAAAGTCGTCAGACATACGGAGCTTTTTCAACAAAAAAAAGCAACAGAGTGTAAGTAGCCTTGACAATTAGTACTGTAATGCAATAAGTTTGACAAAAGCAGGTGTTAAAATAGTGTGTTATTTGCTAGTTTAAAAAGCAAAAAATCTCATTTTTTTTTAAAGTCACTTAAAGAAACCAGTCTATCTGTACATTTTAATATTTTTATTTTGTTACTGTTGCATTCTCAGCTATATGAAAGCACTGAATAAATGTATGGCGTTCCAATAAGTGTTTGGGCTTATTTTTAGCTAAATACAAAAACTTAACAAAAGCCTTTAAATCCTGTAACTGCAGGTTCATCATCCCCAACCCTTATAGCAGAGTAACCAATTAAAAATCAGCGGGTCTGAATAAAGAAAATCATCAACCAGTAAAGGTCTGTAGACATTTCTAATGATCTGTTACATTAAACAGAATTTAACACTGAAATAAAACAAGGTGTTTATGCATACATGTTATACATTGAATCTTTTAATAAAAAAAAAGAAGAAATTTTTTTCATTTTAAAATCTAAAGTGTTTTTTTAAGTAGGAAACAACAATAGTTTGGTATACAGACAATTTCCTGATTCACATGTTTTATAAAACACCTAAACTGACCGTTTGTTGTTTTCTTTCTTTTTTCTGTCTTAATGTTGGCAGTGGGCTTTAGGCTGCCCTGCAAGGCTTTAAACCTGGGTTTGAATGGAGACTAAGCCATTCTCAAGCACATATCAAGGTGCTCATTTTGAGCCTGGATCCAGATTTATTTTTTATTCTGTTCATGGTGGAGAATCCTGCTTCACAGCAGCAGGTTGAGCCAAACATCCTCTAAATGTGCAGGTTCTGATCCAGTCCGGTCATATTGATCTGGATCCGGATCGCGGTCCGCTTATGACCTCTGCCTTATAGTGTCCCCACCAATTTTCATTACAAAGGTTCCACCTTTGGAACAATCAGATCTCTGATATAAGATTGAGCACATATAAAGCTTTAAGGCTTTATATGTGAGAAGAAGGATTTTCAATTCTATTCTGAATTTATCAGGAAGCCAATGAAGAAAAGCTAGGATAAGAGAGATATGATCTCTCTTTTAAATTTTCATCAGAACTCGTAATATGGTGCAAAATACAGTAGAACATTGAGTTGTGTCCTATTTAAAAGGATTATAAAAGTTTCAACTACGTGGGTAGTGTAAAATAATGTCGTAGTTGTAGTCATAGCCAGTTTAGAGTTTAACAGTCTGATGGCAGCGAGTAAAAAGCTGTTGCAGAACTTAATGGACCTGCAGTGGATGCTAATCTGTCTGAATTAATTGTTTTTGACAAACGGTTTTAGAAGATTTTTTTATTAATTACCAGCAGGAAATAAATGTCATTTAACCCGAGAGAAACGGAGATGAGTGATTTCTACATCACCACTGTCAGATTAGGATCTAAAGGTGACTTTGTATAATATACACCTGTTTACACAGATATTCCACCTTTCTGTAATCAGGCTGCTTTTTAAATTGTTTTTGAACTTAAAGACTTCTTATGTTTTGCTGGATGAATAATATGGTATTTTCCATTTGAAGGTGTTTTTGTCTCTCCTATTGTGCCATTTCACTTTTGCAGTTTTTGTTAGTTCATAAATCATCCAGCATTGTGTGTACCTGTAAGCTTTTTTCTGTCTACCTGATTTTCCAGTGTCGCACCTGAATTTCTATTCCGTGGAATGGTAAAGGTATTTCGATTCTGTCCTAAGGTAGTTTTTTTCAGATTAATTCACTGGGGGTTTAACATTTCTAACTGTTAATGGGATTCAGTTTAGCTGATGGAACCTGATCAATTATTTAAGGGGGATAAACAAATCACTCAGGCTCTAGGAAGACAACAGACCTATCCTATCCATCAAGCCTCCAGTTTCTTTCTGTGGATGTGTTCCTCTTCACCAGCAGGAGCTGATTGTAGTGTGTTAACACAGATGAACCACAGAGAGGCTGAGGCATTGTTTTATTTAGAATCGGGAAAATAGATTTTATCATAGAAAAGAGGAAATCTTATCTGGGATTAAACATCCTCATAGAGGGCGAAATAAAACTGGATTATGGTATATAAGACGTCTAATTGGCTCCTTCACTCTTGAAACACTTCCAGACAGATGCGTCTGCTTTCTTATCAAGAAGTTCTAATCCCCTTTTTTACTAAAAAAGAGTGTTGAAAAATCTTTGGGCTTTTGACCTCTGATGACTCTGTTTGATTGCTTTTTATCCGGCAGTGAATTAATTTCATCAATCAGTCCAGAAATCTCACTGCTCTTTGTTCTGACGGTAGTGAAGAGTGCCCCCTGCTGGCATCCAGAGGGGATTACTGCAAACCTTTGAGGCTTCACAAAGCACAGAGCAGTGCTATGCAACAGAAAATAAAAAGGGTTGAGGTGTTATTTGTTCAATGAAGCCTATGTTTCTAGAAAGAGAAGCAGCTGGTTTCCAGGGCAATATATCAGCATAAAATACATAACAAACACTGATCTATCAGCACAAAAAGATGTCGTCTTCCTTTCTGTGATTTTATTCAGTAACGGAGGACTGTTGACCTTGGGTCCATAAACCCGGATATTTTAAGGACATCCCAAATAAAGACCAAAATCAAATTTCGTGAAAATTAAAACAGATTTCTCCTCAAGGCCGACTCCAGACATAGATTGTCCAAATTGATATGATTTTAACATTTAGATTTTGCAGTCAAACAAAAAACACAATAAGACATCATTTAAAGGATTGCTTTCAGTTAAGATGGTTTTACATTATTATATTTCATCATTTAGAAGAAGTTTTAGAGTGGGACTGTAAATAATATACACTAAAAAAGATCTAGAGAAACTGTTTACACCTAGTTAATGATAAGAACCCTACCTTAGACTCTAACTGCTGGGGTTCTGCTCTGTTTCTGGTATCAGAGGATATTCAGAAAGCATTGGACAACAAACAGAAATATTCAGACCAAGAATCCAGCAGACAGGTCAGAAAGAATATCCTGGAAAAGATTTAAGCAGGTTTGGTATTAAAACAGTAGCCTGACGTAGTCCGACTCAATTCTAGTCAGAATATGAGTCTGATACTGCTCCATAGAGCTGTGATTATGGGGCGTGTTTTGAACGAACCAGGGAAAAAATGCCTCTGTACTCAATTGGATAGACCTACAACCAATAAGAGCAACGGAGTGCGTGACGTATCTTAAGCGAGGCATAGTTGTTGTCCACAAAAATCAAAGCGTGCAGTTGCACGCCTAGAATAAGAAGATGAGCCTTGATCGCGTTTCTCTGTTCCTCTTTTAAAATTAATTTGCTGTCGATATCTTCTAGAACAGACCTAATAGCAGAATCTACTCACCCAAACTCTCCAGCGGCAGCCATTATTGTTGTCACCCAAGCGCGCTTTGGTCACGTGGTTGATAACGTTACTCTTGATCATCTGTCCATCATCGTATAAAGCCCGCCCTGACAATTTGATTGGATCGCCTGACAGTGGGCTTTAATACTCGCGCTACTATGGAGCAGAGCCAGACCGAACTTCCCCGAACTCAAACCTTGTGGGCGGGACTAAGTTCGGACTGGCACCCAGGCTATTAAAACAGCCCCCCCAGAGCTCTATTCAATCCATCACCTGAGCATCGAGACAGTATGGACCCCTGCAGACCTACCAAGACATGGATGCCCACGTATACTGATGGGCTGGACAAGGAGAGCATTGGTCAGAGAAGCCAAGAGGACCACAGTGCCTCTAGAGGAACTACAGAGATCCACAGTTAAGATGGAGAATCCTTCTGCAGGACAGCTATTACTAGGAAACTAGGCAAAAACAAAGGAAGTTCTGTTTGCTGGTTACAAATTACCATGAAGGAAACACTGCAAACATGAGGAAGAATGTACAATGATGGGGATGTTCTGTCAGATGAGCATAGCCGGTCAGACCAGCATACCCATAGTCAATACCTGTTTATACTGTTAGTTTATCAATTTCGTTTTGTGTGAAACATAAACTTTAAACTACCTCAACAGGCGTGTATCCCTTTAGTCATGTACAAAAATAAAATTGAATTACTTCGTTTTTGGTGATTTTTTTGAAGCGTATGGCAATCTCACCTTAAATTGTTTTTTTGTTTTTTTTGTACATGACTAAAGGGATACACGCCCATTGAGGTAGTTTAAAGTCTATTTTTTGTAGAAAACTAAAGGACGTCTTGCACATGCATATTGACTGGTCTGACAAGGAATGCTCATCTGACAAAATAGCAGCATCATACAGTGGGGAAGTGGTTCTGAGTGGATGGGGGATTGAGGGAGCTAAATCGATTCAAAAATAAACCAAACTCCAAGGACCAAAATATAAAAAACAACTCACATTTTCAAATCTTCTGCATCCAGTCTAACAAAGTTTGAGATGTTAACAGGTTTCTACAGAGCTCTGACTAAGGGGGCCTGATTAAAAATGCACACCACACTATTCAGATTTGTATCTATTTTATGTTAGATTTCAAATAAACAGGCTTTTTTTACTTTTAATAAACTGCTTTGCTTTGGCCTATCAGATAAATTCCAAAAACCCGACACTGAAGTTTGTAATTATAATGTGACGTGGAGAAAGCAGAACGTGAGGGAACTTCTCTGGAAGAGTAACACTAATCAATGGGACCTCTACACAACTCTCTTCTTTTCTTGTCTCTTTCAGGTGCTCTCTGGATTCTATCATCACCTTCAGGGAAACGTGAAGAACCTTTGAGCAGATAAAACGAGCCTATCCAACTTGTGGACGTTTAGACGGATGTCCGCCCCTGGCTATGTTCTGTCCTTTGGATCAGAGGACTTTCTGATGGTCAGTGCTGACCAAGGAGAGCTCTGCACAACGTGTGTTGGATTCAGACTCTGGGTGTGACCGTTGGAATCCAAACATGATTAGCACCTGGAAGGCCTCTGTGACCATCAGTAAAACTTTTCAAGATGTTCTCAGATGTTGATGGCACCTCTCATATCCTCTCCTCATTAAACAGTCATATGCCAAAGGGTTACAACAATGCATTATGACATTATTTGTAGAAATCTCTGACTTATGAAAGCACACCTTTTATTTTATTTACCCTGTGTCAGGCCTTGGACTAAGAAACAAGCACACTGTCAACATCGTCTCAATGCATTGATAAAAATACTCAGTCGATGTAAAGTTGAACTTCTATGGCACTTTAAACAAGTTTTCATTTCATCTCTGCCCTCTCTTCACACTCTCCCTGTTTAAGGAACAAAAAATAAAGTTTTTTTGTTATGGATGTGGAAGATAATGTTGAAATAATTGATATGTTTGTATCCATGGTGGGTTGGTTCTCTCAATGTTGGAGTAAAAGAAAATATCAAGTTTTTGTTTCCCGAAGATGAAGCCTTGAGGAGCTCAAAAAATAAGCATAAAGCACACGTAAAACTGCACAAACCGGAAATGTTGAACTTGAACAATGATGTTTCAGTTGATGGCAGTATTGGGGGGTCGATGTATGAAGGGGTTTTAAAAGATGGTGGGAGAACCCGCGTTGTCTCCTCCTTCCCTTCCTCTCTCCTTTTGCTGTTTGACAGTGTCTGTGTTTGTATGTGACATACACCTAACAGTCTTCGATGATTTGATAACCATAATTTAATTTGAATATAACAAAACAAACAAAAACAACAAAAAAAACACAGCAACATGTAAAATGGGAATTTTATGCTTTCATAGACACAAATATGTGGATTTATAATAAAATAAAAAGGTATTTTTCTTGGGAAAGTTTCATTTTCAAATTTCTGTTTTGTTGTGATGGTGTGCTTGAAAGATACATATATATTCAGAAGAATAATTAAAACATTTTTATTTACTGAGTAAATGAGCTGATTTTGAGCTTTATTTTTGCTTTAAACACATAGACAACCTGTCTGCTTGGAATGTATGATGAGTACTCAACAAGAAGCCTTTCATTCAGGCCTTATGGATCATTGTCTTTTCAAACAACACTTCAGGCTTTGATTAAGATTCCATCTAGCTATCGCTGTGTTTATCTGAAAGAAATTAGAAAGAATGGGTTTCAGAGGTCAATGTAGAGGTCAATGTATTGCCGACTCCTCTCTGATCGTGACCCCTCTCTGTTATGATCTTGGTGCTGATGACTGGCTTAATTATTCCTTTGATTCACATGTCTAACTCTGCCTGGTTTCTAATTGCTGCTTATCTGATCCACCTGCTCCTGCCTCTATTTAGGTTGCTTGCATACAGTTAGGGCCAGATTATCTCCTTCTCTCGTGCCAGTAGGGAAAAGGTTTTTAGCGTACCTTAGAGTTTCTGGTTTCCTGAGCCTATCCTGCCACTGAGCTTCCTCCTGGACTCCTGGACCTCTGAGCCTGCCTGTTCCCGTCTGAGTGGTTTGCCTGAACTGTTTTTTTACTCCTGAACCTCTGAACTTGCAGATTCCTGTTTTGATCTGTTTGCCTGACTTGGCTTCAGACTTCTGCATGTTGTCTAGGGCTGCAGCACCTGGGAGACTCTGGGTGGTGCCCAGCACATCTTGTTGGCAGAGTTTCCTGTGATAGACACCCTAGCCGCTGTACTCCTATCATCCGTTTTTTAAATAAACGCTTGTTTTTAATAATCCTCTGTTCTGAATCATGACAGTATCCTGGTTGAGTCACAGTCCTTTAGCAGCTGACTTATAAAATAGTCATAATTTCTGTGTCTCCAAGGTCCAATGTGTGGATGACATTCGGTCTGTGAGACCAGCTGGATGGGGCTATGTAGTGCATCACTTAATTTCTCGCAGTTAACACACTCTGGAGAGGTGCTACTGATGTGCATTTGTCATGATTTTATTCTAAGATCTGACCCACATACAGGAAACCAAACAGAGAGACCATGGGAAGGTTTAACAGGTTTATTGAGAACTGGTAGAGATGGGTCCAGTGCTGCTCTGAACACTGGCGAACCGGGACTGAAAAGTGAAGGGGCAGTTCCTGTGGTTAGTTCAGGCTCAGTGGGAAAATTGAGCGTCGATTTGCAAAAGGGAATAAAGGCAGCGGGACTCATGTTTCCAGTAAAAGGTGTCTTACTCTGAATCCAGTCAGTGTGGGTTGTTCCAGTAATTGAGTTGCTTGTTGGAGGGCGGACAGGGTTTACCCAGGTTGAGGTGTTTCCTTGAGGAACGGAGGAGCTGACTGCCACTTAGATTTCCAATGGTACTTGAGAGATTAATCCCCTGCTCAGTGTGAAGCTCAAACAATCCTTTGGGGAAAAGTAGATTCAAACCTCCAGTTTGAATCCCCAGCTAAGTTTGAAGCTCATGCGATCCTTCCAGGGGGAGAAGGTCTAAAACATCCAGTTTGCAGGATGACTTCCTGCCGAGAGGCAGAGACAAAAAAAACAAGGTTAGGTTTAGGTTGACAAAAACTCAGTTTGACTCAGCAAAACTCAGCTTGGCTAGAGTACCCAAAAATGGCAAACACTCTGGCGTTGAGGTAGTGGCAGTCAGCAGCTTAAGAGGCCTACGGTAATGAGGCAACCATCAGCAGGTGTGTGAGAAGACCAAACGAGAACCAGCCGCCACCTGGTGGTGGAGGGAAAACAAACAAAAACACAACCCACACAAACTGGATTCCTAACAGCATTGAGACAGAACCAGTTACTGGACTTCAGCTTAAGGTTTTATTTCCAGACTCAAACATGCCTAAAAACTGATAACACCAAGAAGGGATCACACAGCAGCAATTTGCTTCTAAGTTCAGAATAGCATGTTTCTATGCACTTTTTTATATTCTTGGTTCCAAGTTTCACTAAACGTCTCCTTTGGTCCTTTGTGAAAGTATAGTTTCTGCGACAAAAGCAGTATGATCTATTAGCTCTTTGTTTGATGGTCTTTGTCTACATCAGGGGTGTCAAACTGATTCCAGAAAGGGCCGTGTGGCTGCAGGTTTTCTTTCCAACCAAACATAGCACACCAGACTCCATTCATCTCATCAAGTCTTCATGTTCAGATTGGACTCACTTACTGAGATGGCTGGAGACTGATGTGCTATTGCTTGGTTGGAAAGAAAACCTGCAGCCACACAGCCCTTTCTGGAACCAGTTTGACATCCCTGGTCTACATTTTCTGACATAATCTTATTTTAAGTTCATCTTGGCACAGTTTGTAACTAGGATCTAATGAGATTGAACCTTACCTCTGTTGCTTGAAGTTTGGTCGCTGTGCAGTCTTCCAACCCAGTCTATTCCAGCTATTGGTTTCACTCCTCAAGTCATTGCTGGTATGCTCCTGCACAGAGAGGCTAGGATGTCCAAGATGCTTTATCCTTCTTGCACTATGGGTTTTGCTGCCTGACACATTCATCTCTGGGAGCCATATTCAGGATGCTCTCCAGGATCTTTGTGGGTTTGTCCTGAATAGTGGCGTGAATGCTCTCTTGTCAGTCACAGGGTGTTGGATTTAGGGTTCCAAGTGTGATCTGTGAAAAGTTGCCCCATCCAGATATTGTAGGCTTCTATCTATACATTGGGCTTTGTTGTTTAAGCACCGGGTTGTCTAATGGGTAACAGAGCAGATGTATTAATAGCTTGGATTTCTTACATCTTACGTAGCCTTTAGAACCCACCATAGAACATTATATTCTAAATAAAAGAAATTAAGAACATATATGAACATTCTAATTTGCCTCTGTATCAGTGGGCCGAACAATGCTTACTACTAGAAATACAAAGGAAGTCCAAGTTTCTCTGAATTTACAGAAAAAGCCTTAAATGACAAATCTTAGTTTTTCCAGTTTACGGATATAAACAATTTCCTTTCTGTAATAATTGTAGGAGGGAGTTTCCATCCATCCATCCATTTTCTCCTGCTTAATCATTGTCAGGGTCTCACAGGAGCTGGTCCCTATCTCCGGCAGTCTACAGGTGAGAGGCTGGGTATGCCTGTACTGCATGCTACGCTATGCTACAGAAATATGTGTTGAGCTGTTGCTAAAGCTTAGACAAGCAATATGTCTTTTGATGATGCTGGACAGGCCAGTCTGACGCAGGGAAACACACAAAGACACACAACCATGTACACAAACCAATTAACCTAACAGTCATGTTTTTTAACTGTGGGAGGAAGCCAGAGTACCAGGAGAGAACCCACACATGCACAGTGAGAACATGCAACTCAATGCAGAAAGACCCCTGCCCAGAAATCGACAACAGCGCTACCAGCTGCATCACAGTTCAGCCGGGAGGGAGTTTCCAGGAGGTAAAATGCATCTATGAGCCAAGGAGGTATTAAATGCCATTACTTCTAGAGAATCAGAGTTTGGCACCAGGAGAGATGCCACGAATAGATGAAAACTGATTAGGAGCAAGCTCATCAAGGTCATGATTAGCTGACAATTGTCCAAATCTATCGGTGTCACTAAGTGAGGAGTGTATTTCAGATAATGTTGGATTACTCCGATGCACTACATAGAATGTTTTACATTGGATTAGGATACACCATAAACAAAAGGACAATTAATTTTAGATTAGATTAGATTAGATTAGATTCAACTTTGTAGTCATTACACAGGTACAGGTACAAGGCAACAAAATGCAGTTTAGGTCTAACCAAAAAAAATTATAAATAATGGTTCCATAAATAAAGGACATGGGTTTCTACTGAATAAGTATAGAGATGAATACCATTATAAACAGAATCTTACTAATAGATGAATATAATATATAGATAACTAGTGTTATGAACTAACTTTACATCTGGATATGTACCAAATATAATATACAGGTGGATATTACTTTAAAAAGGGTTTTTACAGTTATGTACAATAGCATATATACAGATGGGTTTTACTATAAAATGAATAAATAAAGTTTGGACAGAAGCTATATAAATGAAAGTGCAGAGGAAGGTAATTGCATTTTACAGTTAAAGTACGTTATTGCAAATGTATATGTAAACATTGGTACTGTGATTAAACAGTCGGTAGTGCAAATATAAACATTCAGCAGTGCAAATAATAAACAAACTTATAGACACTAAGATGTTCATATCTAGTGTATTAGATAATGAGATGCAGCTCTTATGCTGTGGGTTTGTTGACAGGAGAGTATGCCAGAGAGGTTTAGGCAGTCCGTCAGTGAAGTGAGGAAAATACTTTTTAAAAACTTCTGTCCTAAAAGAGACAAAAATTATGTAAATTGGGAAGTTGAAATTTGGAATACAGTTCAGAGGAGGGTAAAAAGACTGTTACTACAAACTGAAGGCATTCCGCATTTTAAATAAAGGTGTTTTTGATGAGGGCCCATACAGGTCATAATGCTTCTTGAATCGGTACTACAGTACATTCACAGCATAAGTATAGGAACATGCTGGAAATATGCCTTCAAAGAGATAATGATAACAAACACCATCAGTCAATAATCTTTTTGGTATTCACAAGTAGACATATGTTTCTCTTAATTATGTTAGAAATGCCAGAAGAGAAAATTATCACTAAAAACAAACAAACATATCTGTTCATTTAAAGGGTGCAGTTTAGTTGGAAAGGTTTCTAGATAAAGTATATATATGAGAAGTAATTGACTCTTTTGGTGGTAAAACCTACAGCCGAAAAGTGCAAAATACTGGTCCAAGGTGTTGTGCAAGTTTACCAGAAGATTATGAACATATTAAATAACTAAAACTGGAAGTTATAGCTCATTAATTGGTCATTCAAATTGGGGGTAAAATTGATTAATTATGATCAGTTGAATGATGATAACTGTAATTTGCTTACTCACCA